TATTGCTATCATTATTATTATTATGCACAGATAGTAAAATATATCAAAGCTGCATCAGATTTGTAAACTTATCGCTTAGAACGATGATGCATTAAGGAAATTAAAGATTTTAACTTTAATAGTTTAATATTTCATCTATCCGCTCTACTCCATTGATCAGCTCTATTCTTTTTCACATTCTCCCTAATTCATAAATATACACCTTCATGATAATCAAAAATTTGTCAAATCAAATTCAACAATTAATATTTATCTGCTGCAATTGTACACAATTTTAACCATTATTAATTTTTAGGAATAGTTTTCTATTAGGCCTCATAATGAATGTTTTACTCGACCTGCGATAATTTCTGCTTATATGTTTCAGTCTTTTTTATTTTACTTTTATTGATGTAAGAACTAGTTGTCAACTACTAAGGAAGAAGTTTGAACTGTTAATGTGAATAGGAATAAATGAGGCTTAAGAAGTGGCAAAAGGCCATTTGATGTTTGTTATTTATTCTTTGAGAATTGGCAACTAATTGCTCTTTGAAGTATTCAATACAATTTTAGATACCTCTGAAATGAATAAAATTGATCAGATGTTGCTATTTTTATCCTTCCCTTACTCTTCTCTCTCTCAAAAAAAATTTAACTTCAAAAAGCATTTTCATTAATTCACACAAATTTAATTGTTACTAAAATTTAAAATTAACACCTTCATGAATATAAATTCTTTAAATTCTGTTTGCCTCTGAAACTCACTATTGCATGAGAATAGAATTGGTAATAAAGTGGGTAAATTTAAGGATACTTGGAAATGTTTATATGTGAAAGACAAATAGAAATAAGATTCAAACTATCAAATTTGGCAAACTTAGCATTATTTGCAATATATTTTCTCGAAGCTGTATTAGAATTTAGAATTTGTTAGAAAGAAAAGAAATTAGAAAAAAAAAACGAATAAAAAAATTCGTTTCAATTACTAACAATAAACATTGCAATGCGATAAACTTGTATGTTAAAATCGTCTTCCTCTCATGTTCGTTCATTCTTAATATTAAGACAAAAATAAGTAAATAAAGAAATGAACAAAGATATTTACATACATATATTAATTTCTGATGAATGATATTTGAAAGCTTACTTTCTTCGTCTGAAGTGTCTTTCTTTTTCTTACAATGAATAAGCCTTCAGAAAAGTCAACCAATGTGTATAATAATTGCCGATGCGTAAAAGTCGCTTAAACTTTGAGCATACGGGCTGATATAATAGAATGATATAGGATATGCAAAATTATTGTTTCCAATTTTTAGTGTCAAATGTCAGCCTCACTTCATAGTAAACAATAACCAGGATTTGAAATAATAAATTCAGAGGATCTTTTTTTTTTTGTTTGCTGAAAGTGAAGTTTACAGTGAAAGTTTGGAGGGATGAAAGAGTATTCATTATTGGTATCTTAACTGCTATGGTATATAAAGCAATTAAGATCACTCTAAGGATAATAGATGTAATGTAGCGATCATTTCTTTCTTCCTTTGAAATATTCATTTTCTACCCTTTCTAATTCTATTGCAATTTATTTTCTATTAGCAAAAATCAAAAATGAAATGCAAAATGTAATTTAAAAAAAAAAAAAAAAAGAAACACTTCATTTCATATTATATGGTAGTTATAAATCATTTTTTAGGAGTCAATAATTTCTGCATCAATAACACAATTTCATTTCATACTGTCTTATTAATGAATTAAAAAACAGTTATTTCTCCTTTTTGCCATGGTGTTGCTTAGTATTTAGATTGAGTTAAATAATTTAATTGAGAAATTTCAGAAACAGCATTTCACTGATATGGTAAGAAAGGGAATTATCGGAAATAAAAATGAACTCTTAAACATATATGTTAAAATTCAGTTCCAATTAAACGATTTTTCGGAAAAAAAAGACTTCATTTAATGATTGATAGGCTATCTTTCATATTTTTTTCCTCTTGAAGCAAATTATGAAGTGATAACTATATATTTATAAGAATTAAATTAATGAAAGAGAATCGCGAAAGTTATCGAATAAATTCTATATTAGAACGAAAATTCCATTTAATATTTTCGTTTGTTATGAGTTTATCAAAAATAAAGGAAAAAAAATAATTCCTCAAAAATAATACTTCACATTCAAGTTTGATAGATGGCCTAATAATAAGTTCGATTTGTCAACAAAGGGTATTGTTTACGATATTGTTGTAAAATTGATTACCATTTGACCAGAAAAGTAAGATATTAAAAAGTTGCGTCCGATCGTTTCATTTTTTAATAAATTAATAAATTAATAAATTATAATTACAGTTTCACCGTTTTACTTCAGAATGGCTTGGAGTATTTTTTTTTTCTTTTTTTTGTTTTACTTACTATATTTTTATAAAATTTATACATTCTAAAGCTAGAAGCATTACATTTAGGAAAGACAATACTTTGCAAATAACGATCTGATCTTTTATAAGATCAAGAAGGGTAATATTTCCATATCAACATTATTGCACATCTTAGCAGCAATTATGATCGCAACAACATTATGGCAAAAACGATAATGACCGTAGAATGAATGTGAAAAATTCAATTAACCAGACATAAAATGCCACTTTTTTCCTCAATTTCTTTAAATTCATTTCAATGACAAGTCTTCTTTTCCAATCATTCTTCTTTATCATTAATTCAGTGGAGCATACACACACACACACTCACACATACACACACATACACACACATATACATACACATACAAATACATACCTACACAACTCGATTCTTTCTTCAAAGTCTTACATGAACATGAAATAAATTTCAGAAATTGCTTTTGATAATGTTTTATTTCTAAACTATCGATAATTAGTAAACGGTGATGGTGACTGTTCAATGTTCAATTGCGTCATACGACCACAATTCATCTTGGATTCATGTATTTCTGATATTTCCGCCAGTTGATGACGTCGTTGAGCCCAACGCCAAAAGCATCCTTTTATATTTTCGAATCGTTCGAAACATGGAAAACACGATGCATCAAGGATAGTTTCACTTTGCATCATCTGAAACATGATTTTAAACTGTCAAAATTTGTGGAAATGTGATGCGAGATACTGAAATATTGTTTAAACTTAGAAATCTCTCTTTTATGAATTACGCCATTCTTTTTTTGTTTTTTTAATAACATGTACATGCACATACGCAGACACACACACACACACACACAGATCTAAAAAGGTCACAGCGCAAATTTATTGGGCATTCATATAAAATTGATAAAATGAAACCTAATCACAAAATATTAAACATTTCTATCCCACAAGCGTTGTGTTGACCTCACTCATAGTACAGCGTTGTCGATAATCATGACCTTGAACTGCACAAAAATGGATATCACTAGCTGACAGCAAGGGACATGGATCTGCTTGAAAGAACATTCATCGAAGCCAGAAATCATGAAAGCTTTAATTTTTCATCAATTATATAAACAGACATATTGTGCATAGGTTGGGTAACTTTTTATAAATGCTAAAGATAGATTTTCAAATTATAAATCAATAAGTGAATTTTTATAGAGAAGGTTATTTTAAATGATTAGATAGTTCTATTGATTCTGCTTGTTTCCTATTTATTATTATGACACGTTTCAACGATTATTAAAACTTTTTAATATTTATAAGTTAAAAAAAGACTAGGGAAATATAAATACTGAAATTGACATTAGAATAAGACGTGTAGAGAAAAAAAACGCTTTAATGAGTTGTAAAAAGATTAGTAGCAAAACGTTACTCACAATATTCTGATTATAATTGACATAAGAACTCCGCAAACATACTTCTGGTAATCCTCACTTATGACAACATTCCTAAAATGCATCACTTTCATTATTGATCTATAGTAAATTTTCAAATTTCATTTACCATCAGATAAATGAAATAAAAATGATACTTTTTTTTTGTACATCAAGGGAATCTAACAAGAAGTGTTTGAAATTCTTTTAAGAATATCATCGTTTTTCAAATTAGTATTTCAAAATTTCGTCATAATAGAGCTCTAAAAAGAAAAAACTTTCTAGCAATCACTGAGAACTTGATTTCAAATTTGAAATGAGGCTTAAGCATTCTTAAACTTCATCATTTTTCATTAATATAGTTTATAATTTTTAACCAACTAATGAATAAAATTTTAATCTCTTTAGTAAATATGATTTGGCATTTAATTTTCAAGAGAAAATTTCATTCCTTTATATAGATTCACTTTTACATAAGACTAGCACTATTGTCGAAATTTAAGTCTAGAATGACGAAAATTATAAGCTTAATTAAAATGTAGAATCCTGGATAGGAAAGGAGATTGCATTGGATGGTGCTGAAAAAATAACAATTCATTATCATTTTTTCCTTCATCTCGTACTTTCAGCGATTTTGCAATTTATGAGAAAAATATTTGAATTTAGTAACTTCTTGTTTTTATTTTTTTAGAAACTTGCTCTTAGAAACTTAAAATCCTCTCTATTATTTTCAAGAGTTTTTTATCCAATTTTTTAATTTCCACTAGATTTAAAATCTACACTTAAAACCAAGATAATAAGTAATGGAGAAGAGATATTTCAATTCATATTACAATTTGAATTCATAGAAATTTTAAATAAAACCTACGTGTATTTCTGCGCAAAAATGATCCAAATAGCACTCACGAAAAGCGCCACCATCTACACTAATACACCAAAATATGAATAATAACAATGATAAGAAATTTATCGAAATTTTATTCCATCAATGATCTATCGAATAATACCTTAAAGAATTGCACAGCTATGATCTGTTGTTTATAGAAATAAACAAATGCTGAACAAAATACTGAAAATTAATTCCGCAAGTCTTCTAAAATTAATTTTAAATTTGAATTTAACAGCATTGACGTTTTTCATACCGTTTAAAATTTGTAAATGAGACAGCTAAGATACAAATTATCGTACCAAACCTATTCTAAGCAAATAATAAAATAAAAAACTAAATAAAGTATACAAACTTGCAGAACAACTTATCCGGTAATTTAGTAGCAGTAGTAGTAATGGTACTGATAACTTTTCCATAACAATATAATTTTTGTTGTTCTCAAAAATTCATAGAACAGAATAGCTCAGAAGTAAATCATAAGAAAAGAAATTAATTCATGAAAGAGAATAAATTAAGTGATGGCATCACCGTTCATCTGTAAATTTTTCTCAGATACGAAATTGTCTACTTCTAACATTTCCTCATTTCTCATTTTTTAATTATCGCTGAATCTTTTTTTTCTTTTTGTGTATTACTTATATTCATTTATTCACACATCATTCCTCCCACTCTAAATTCTGATCATCTTTCCATTTCCGTATTTTCACATATCAATTCCCATTCAATCTCAATTTCTTGTTCTCATTCATATTTGAATTCATATTTGATCTGTTCTAATTCATATTCATATTTGATCTCTTCATTTTCTATCACTTCATTTGCTTCCTTAGTCGAACGAACTGCAACATGAGATTGAAATAATTTGTATACAACAATGTTCTTTTATGTGAAGTATTATCCCATTTGACAAATTGATATATCACAAGTAGACACTAATTAAATCGGATGTAAATTAATCAGGCTTACTTTACAATAGCGATTAGTTAATGAAAGTTATAAAATAAAATAAATGTATAGCGATGAATTGAAGTAATTGATGAATATGGGATATATTTAAATCGTCCAACTGCACTTACCTTATTTTATACTTCCTCTATAACAATTTGACCTTCCTAAAATGAAAAGATAAAGCTTGTTGAAATATATGTAATCTACAATCGACTGATTTTTTGAACGGTTACGGGATAGGTGGAAAAGCGGAAGAGTGTATTAATAGGTAGATTAGTATGATTTTTCCTACCGTTAACTGGTTTACCGCCCGGTACAGAACTCTTCCCTCATCATCACTTGTATTAAAGTACTGAGAGTGAGAAGAGAGAAAAATCAAAAAATCGGCATGCCTCATTCAAACTCTATCAAAATAATCGGGACATCTCCCGCTCTGTATATCATTTACTTAGCATAGAGAGCAGGGATCTCTGAAAGAATATTTTGTCCAGCCGTGAATCTCTGCTCAACAGTTCTTTTTACTTGATTAAAATTATCGTGAAATACACAGCATATCTCTAGTTATTGATAAATGATCTTTCCTGTTAGATTCTCTACGGCTATCACTAATCAAAATGCATGTTAAATAATTTTAACTTCAAGTACGACACTTCATATTATGAGTGGATTAGAATTCATTTTAAAAAATATTAAAAAATTCATTAGTTATATAATTTTATATAATAGCTATATTGGGTAAAATAAAAATTTGAGAGTACAACAATCAGGATGTGTCACTATCGATGTCCTATTCATCACTTCCCTTTTTTCTTCACTCACTGTCTATCATCCATGGAAACGATTTTGGCTGTTTAACTTTATTAAGGCGTACTATGAAAAGTCAATAAAAAATCTTCCTATTTTTCATTCTCACAAACTTCAAGCATATCCCTTCTAATTTAAGATGAAGTTTATATTTTAAACAAATTTTAATAAACAATAATACTAGGCAACAATTACTAAAGACTTTCAAAATATTTGGTCAACACAGAGAAAAATAGAAAACTTTACAATGTTTAAAAATTACAAACCACATTTTAGACATACAAAAAAGTCAAAAAAGACAAATTTTTCTTCATATTTTAATAACAGCGGAAGAAGTAATTTTTAGTTTTTTAATATAAACAGCAAAACAAAAAGTTGCAGGTGTGCAACAAAAAAAAACACATACAAAAAAAGCACAAATCTCAGAGAACGTCAAAACCGAATGAACAATAAAATTAAGATAAATGAAACACTTCAAACAAAAAGAGTTAGAAATATACACCTTCATGAAGCTTTTATATTAATCAAATCAAGTAAAATGAGAAATCAATGCGAAAAAGTTTAAAAGAATCCACTCCATCCTGAATAAATTCTTTTCCTCCAAAGAACATCCAAAAAAGTTAAAAAGTTAGGTTTCATTTAAAGTAGAAATGGAATTAGATAGAAAGAATCGTGCCAATTCAATTCTTTTAGGGGTGAACTGCAAAAGACTTCGATTACAATGTAGTTTCTGGTGGAAGAAATATTTTTGTGATTTATAATCAAATGTTGGCCCATGATGCTTTTGCGAGATGAAAAGAACAGCCGATTAATTAATCATTAGTTATATTTAAGAAACGAACAAATTTTAGGCAATCATCTGCACCTTTTTTACAAACGTCCTTTGATTTTTATAAATCTTTACAATTTTCAACTAACTGAAACAGCAACTCAAAAAAAGTAATGTCATCAGTAACGCCTACAATAATTACACTATTTATTGAATTATGTGTACCAGGAACATGACTCACTTGCTATTTCAATATGAGACAGGTTGACATTTTACTCGTACAACCTTAAAACACCTGACGGCCAAATAAATAACATGAATCATAAAATACATAACATATGCAACGATGAAGATCAAAAAAGTATAATGAGATACATATTTTGCGGAAAAATCTAATCGATATTAATTCTTCATGGAATTCATGGAAAGTCTGTATCCAAAACATCTCTTAGAAGCAGTGTTTTTCAAAATGTCTATTTAGAGAACTGAAAAAAGAAAACAAATGCGTTAACAAAAACTACAAAGGTTACACAACGGTCTATGGACGTCCATTGTGGAATTTATAATATCTACTCATTTCTTTTCAATCCCTGTTCTTATGACATAAAATAGAAATGGAAAAGATCGAAGAAAAACTCATGCCAAAGCAGTAGTTTCTTCTTCACTTTGTATTTACAATCAAATCCATTTTTATGGAAATTTCTAACTCGAAACACATTTCTAAACAATGTTAGTTTAAACACATACTTGTCTGATGCACGCTCTCCTCTGACAATTTCTTTTTAGAACCGATTTTAGTCAATTTGGTCTGGCCACCGGAGAAAAGATTGGATGTACGCAGGATTGACAAATCCACATCATTTACCTCAACCAGTTTCAGCGGATGCAAGCGAAAAGAGTGAGCGGTGGACGAGGAGCAGTATAGCTGCAGAAAATCAACTACATCATCCTGAAATATACCCCTACTTGGACAATATAAAATATCGTGAAAAAATAAAATAGTTCTAATCTAATATACATCAAACAGAAACCTTAATCAATGTTTAAAATAAATGAAACACACCAGTAAGGCTCTCTGTACGGTTCGATGAGTAAATCGTTCGATAGCTAGCCGCAATGCTGAAGGATGCAAATCACTATTTGATGAACCAATAACAATTACTCCTGTGGGAGCTGAAAGTTACAAGTCAGTTTCATTAGCTTTTCATTAGTTTCATTAGCTTTGCTTTAGAATTAAAGTATACATTCTGAAGAGTTAAGCTGCACTTTACGTTTCAATGTTCTATAATGAAAATAGAGCATATAATGGATTCGAGTAAATGTGGTAAATCAATTTTTCATTCATCAGGAAAAATAATGTGCAACATGTAAGTCACTTCCACTTTTTACAATATGTTAATATTAACAAACCAATCATTCTCGTTGCCATAACCTGTAGTTCACGAACATCACAGTCAGTAGCCTGATCGCCAATAACAAATAATGTTGGACAATATGTAAGCAATATATCATCGTCAACATCCTAAACTATTGATATTTTTGAATTATTTCAAGAAATTTCAAACATATCAATATGATATGTCCTTTAATTGAAATAATCGAAAATATTGTAACTAAAAGATCATATAAACAAAGTTCCAAATTAAAATAATAAGAAAACAACTGCACGCAATCGAAACTTACACCCCGTGGTCCATCGGCTGTCTTCATCGGAAAAGCAAAATTGATGATAGCGGACACATTTGGCATACATTGAACAACCTGAAATATAATACTGTTTAAATCAACCGATAAACCAACAAATACAAGAATTGTATGTTTAGAGGCACACAACTTACCTGATGATTTATAACACAAGATGTTCCCCAGCCGACCAAAACAATTTTAAGATCGGGATATTTTCGATGCGTTTCCACTACCTTACGTGATACCAACCGAATGCAGTGGTCAACAGCTTCACATACAGACATATCTTGCGTGGTTGGTAAATTCAATCGTACAGGTTCCACCCTATCTGCTACATTCGGAAGTAAAACTCTAAAAAAAGATTAGAAGGTTAAATCATGGAGGTTCCTTAACAGCAAATCGTAAAACTCGAGACTGCTACATTTGGATATTAATAAAGAAATAATCTCTGGAAGAAAATTTTAAATTAGCAATTTTAAGAAAAAGTAATACAAATCAAAAGACACTTACCGAAACATGTATTCGTGTGATCTCGATCTTGAACGATATTCAGTATGTGTGAAAGTTGGTGAAACGGTCAGCAAACAGATATTTTTTGCATGTCTTTTCTGGAGATTTTATTTTTATATTCCGGAATCTCTTTTAAAATTAATGAATTCTAGGGACCTCATACTTGACGTCTAACACTGTACGGTTTGGAATAAAATAGAAGACTAATTTCTGCTCCTTAGCTGCTATAAAAAATGCATCTGGAAAGCTAATAAGGAGAGTTCAATAAATTGGCGGAAGTGAGATCAATACAAAAAATTCTTACCGTAAGCGTTTTAGAAATAGCAATAGTTTGTGGATCGAGCATCTTTTCAGAAATAAAATCGTGAATATAACTGTTCATTTTGTTGAGAACTTTGTCAGTAATGCTTTGCTCCAAAAGAAGATCTATCAGATAGCGTCCCTGAAAATATTTCATGTTGAATTTAAGCGCAGAAGTATAAAAAGCAAAAAAAATCCCTCCAGCTTGTCCGAACTGAACTCATTTGGGCAAAAGAGAAGATTTCATAAAATTAAGGAACATTTTTCATCCAGCTATATCCAAACATGCTATATAGCCGTTCAGCAAGGTAAGAAAAGCCCAAGAAAAATCGAAAATCATTTCGAATTATATACCAATTGTTTGTAGACATCTGATACACTACTAACCGTTATTTTGCAAAATCTTAACAAATCGATGTATGTAGCCAACATAGGCACAGCCAAGTGTTTAAGAAATATTTGGTGTGCCCATTTTGCATTTTCCCGCTGTTCCTAAAGTAAAAAAATACTAGCCAGAAAATGCATATAACAGATAAGTTATAGTAACTAAGAAAGATACATACAATAATACTGATTAATGGAATAAAATACATCAATGTGGTTTGTTCATAACTAATCAACACTTGTTTCCGTTTGATGTCCCTAAATCAACTGTCATATTAGGCTATAATAAATTCCTCACCATAAAAACAAAGCAATGAGGCCTCCCCGTTTGATTCTCCCGCTGTATTTCAATTAAATTAATAGAAATCAAGCGGCACATATTTATTCGAAAAATATTTCGATGGAAACTTGAAAATGAACCTTAGTGAATAGTAAAACTTTATCTCGCAGTCGATGGGAATTCTTCACCATTGTACTGTAGCGTATTGAAGCACCACCAAACACATTTTGGGATGAAACCTCCGAGCAATACTGGGCCGAGATGACTGTCAACATATCATTCAGTAAACGCTTTCGGTCCAGCAATTCGCTTGCAAATCTAAATTACTTAAAAAAACTAGATCCAAAATATTTCTGCGAGCATTACTTAACGCGTCAAGTTCATAGTTGAGCCTTACACATAATATTAGAGCTACCAACCAACAACACTGTCGCATATCTCACAAAAATTTATTCCATTCTAAAAACGTGAAAAAATTTAAACTATGCAGATACATTGTTCTAACGTTGTCCAATGTCAGCAGATATCCATGGTTAACATTTTCAGTTCCCAATTCATCTTCGTTATCCGTTTCTGGTCTCGGTACGATCTTGTTGATTTCAAGTGCTACACTGATTGCTAAACAACTGTCCACAGCTTCATCATCACCTTCAACGGCTAATCCTGAATCCACATCCACAACTACATCTCCACCATCGTCTTTTTTTAGATCATCACTGAAATCACAAAATTTTAATTACGCATAGAAGATGATGCTTACTCCATTCTCTTTTTTACGCAATCAGACTTGATACTATTTAAAATAAATCCAATAAACTCAGCAACACAGTTTAACAGAGCTTAAAAATGAATAGAAATAAGCACTTGATTTTATTGAATCGTGGTTATACAGTGTATATTCTTTCCAAAGTTGAAAAAAGACGTAGTAAGACTGGTCGCGTAAATATCAAAGATCAGTTTACAAAAAAAAGAACACATTAGGGTTCCATAAACCTAAAGGTCCGTAATTTGTTTTCCGGAATCTGAAAAATTAACTAACCCTCGCAATAGGATTTCTCGATAGAAAAATGATGGGTTATCGTCGCCTGAACGACTTTTCAAACCAATGGCAAGTGGATTAAGTTTTCGACGCTGAGCAATACGTTTGAAATACGGCATGTTTTGACTTGAAGTCCTAAAAATCGCAATTAAAAGAAGACTGCAATCACCTGCTTCTTATAAATCTCAAGGCTGAAAAAATGATGCCACTTACTTTCGAATTACATAAAGCACTTGATCAAAAGCCTTTTCAAAAAGGAGAAGATTTTTGGGAAATCAAATAGTGAAGCTTTTCAACAAGCACTCATTATATTTTTTCATAACTCGCAAGTCAGTCTCACATCTTTCAAACTTACTTTTGTTTTATTCTATCAGAAGTTAACTTTGAATCTGCTCGCTTGTTTTTCAATCGACTGGAAGCATGGATATCATTTCCCTCTAGAATAAAATGTTCTTTCATCAATTTGGACCAGTAACAAGTAAATATGCATATGCATTTGACAAATCCCAATTTCGAAATAATCTCACCAGATTTTGTAGTATCAACATCAATTGATACACTACTTTTCCGTCGCTGACCTTTCGATATCGATTGCGACAAGTTCGAAGACAACTCGTTATTTCCTTCTGAATCTAAACGGACTCTGCGGCGACGCACACTTGCAGAACCAATTGTCATATCTAAAATTAAGATTAACTGTACATATGTAGAGTAAAAAATAACAATGCATTTATGTAAAGGTAAAAACAGTACATATATTTAAAAATTAATTAATCACTGCACATATTCAGCAATATATAACATGAGATTAACGGATTCAGGAATCTCTCATTTGATGAGAAATTCCTTAAACCGTTAGCATCTAGAAAGTAATTCAGATTACCGACATGCTGCATTTGATAGATATCGATTGTTAAGTATGAATTACCTTGTTCTGTTCCCTCCGATATTGACGGGGCGCTTCCATCTTTCACTGAACTATTTGAAAGCCGTCTTGTTTTTTCGCCTGAACGATGTTCTTCTACAGCACTTCCAGTGTTCTCTGCTTTAATCACATCAGTCAAAGGCTTCTTTCCTGCTCCATCATATGATTCACCATCATAATTTGTCAAACTACTGCTTATAGGGCAAGAATTGATCTGATCCTTAAATAAATCACATAAAATAAGCCTGGCAACGAAATATTGAATTATGATATAGAAACTAATATAAATACAAAAATTTTAGAACATCAGGTCCAAACTTCAGTACAAGATTGCAAATACATTTCATACAAACACTTATAGCGCACCGAATGAATCAAAAAACTATAAAGCAAAAAGAATTACTTTTCCTTCTTCGGAATCATAAATGCTTGTGTCGAGTCCCAGTTTTTCGCTACAATGAATTCTATCATCTACATGCTTGCCTAGAATGCATTGCTTTTTAAAAAATATGTTTTGTTTTTCAAAAGAAAGTGCTCAATCGCAGTCAGAAATTAATTGAAGATTTATAAAATAATATAAAACTAACTGATGGTAACAGGATTTTGTCCACGTTTTCGCTTCTGCTTCGATGGCAAGCACCCTGACAAGACAGCACTATTATCTTCTGCGCCACTTTTGGGTTTAACAATACCATCGGATTCAACAGAGTCAAGGAGATTTGATTGTGATGTTGCAGGTATTTTGACAGCATTCGATTTACGTCGTCGACTAAACAAAGAAGGGTAGAGCTGTTCATAGGAAATCGGTCTTTTGCGTGTGAATCGACCAGTTGATTCGCATCCCTGAAAACATTAGATTTCAATATTTGATTGCTGGTTTCTTAATATAAAGGTTACAAATACTTTCAGTGTTATGTGCTTTCCATTGATTTTGTAAATGCTCACAGCAGAAGATATAACCTTGAAATGAATGGTCTTCAAAGTTACATCTCATTCAGCGACAGTTAAATCGGTTTATAGGCAGCCTAGTAGTTTTAAATGTGGTTTATTTTTTGTTTTTCCATGAATTCACCTTGGACATCTTCAATACGTAATACCGTTACTGAAGACACTCCTTATCTTAACTTTATTTATTGTTGCACATGTGGATGTACCTATTTATTTTTGCTAAATGTGCCCATGAATAGCAAAACTATGCGTTTCGGTTATGTCGCTGTCAGCAGGATATTGCGGTTTTATAAGTCAAAAAGATCCTCCACTTGTTTAATATAATTCTTAAATCGCAATGTGCCATGTTGAATGTAAATCAGATATGATATGACAAGCGTATATTAAAATAAAGCAATTCTAATGCTGAACAAGGTGAAATGAGAACGAAACAATGGAAGGGCACCTACCGGCTGAGAAAGTCCTGAAGGCGACAGTGATGATGAATTCAATACGACTTTGCTTTTTTCACTTTCAACATCATTAAGCTCCTCGTAAATAGCTGAAGGAGTTGCTATCATATGTTCCTCATTGCTACTCCCTACCAATACTGCTGACGGAGATGAAATCTGTAGAGAAGCAAATTTCTGTTAAAGCATGGGAACATTTCAAATCTTAAGACTTTAAATTACTGCAATATATAAAACATTAAAGACGTAGTATTGCTCAAGATCGGAAGATCAAAAAAATCGTCTATAAAAACTGTATTAAGCTCCTTTAACTAAATATGAGTATAAAGAAAATTGAGTACCCTTATTCAGATTAAAAACAAAAATTTCCCATTTTGAAATTCAAACTGATAGACATGAAGTACTAATTACGTACGCAACTCGGACCGGAGAGGATTGATGATTTCAGATTTGAATTTTGTGGAAATCGCAGATTAATATCAGCTTCTTTATTACTGAGTGAGCACTTCCTCTGACTTTCTTTATTCCCCATCGATCTATAATAGATTAGAAAAGCAAAATCAAAAATCTCATAAATACTAGACAGAACCTTTACAAGAAAATCAGAATGGCCTAAAATTATTGCTTTTCAATACTAAACAGAATCCACCTTCAAAAAATTGCGACAAACATTCCTTTCTTTATTTAAATCAATAAACAGTCAGTTGCAACTGCATAAAAGTATCGTTATCATTAATTAGATTCCAATGAATATAACTGGGAATATATTTCTATATTTTGTCACTCTTTTAATCGAATGTCAGGGATATAATGATGTATTTCTCGAAAGAGAGAATTATTTACAAATTGTGTGTTCGATCAATTATTTAATTCAATATTGAATTATTAAAGGTTCATGAGTTTATGAATGGATCACAATCCAGACATTCCTAATTGCAAAAAACTAAACAACCACCTTTTCTGCCGTGCTTCTGCAGCAATATCATTAGGAGATTCCACTGATGTTACAACTGCTCGCTTTTTCAATGTTTCATCAAAACGATGTGCTCTGCTAACAGGTAATGGCGGAGAATAATCATGTACTCGAGCAGGGCGACGTCGGCGTGGCTCACGTCTTTGCGGTATACGTATACGTAGTGGTGGGACGCGACGTGATTCTTCTACGGCAACTGCATTTGGACGCCGTAAAGGTTCCATTATCAAGTTAACACTTAGTGAACGTGCTTCACACACCTGGTCTATCATTTTGTTGATAATACCTGTTATATCATCCGGATCTTTTTCCTAAAACAACAACATTTGTAACAAATCATGTTGATTTGTAATTAACACAACAAATGAAGGGAATCCATTGACAATTACAGATTTTGCCCGTATGTATTAACACAAACAACATTATTTCGATATTTTGATCATTAAAACGTTATATGAAAACTCAGCAGTAACATGATCAGTAATTGAAATGGCTTACTTTCTTCGCCTCAAAAAGTCGATTATCGATATCACAGGAATCGTCATCGTCACCGGTCTCCACAATATGCAAACGCTCACCATCCTCCAAAACAATTTTTTTATAATTTCCTATATTTGAAATTTCAAACAGTTCTATAATTCTAAGTTCTAAGATATTGATTTCTCAACTACAAGCAGTCTTCTATATTTTGATGACTTTTTAGCAGTTCTTGCCTTGCTCCTCTACGAAAACAGAAAAAAAAAAACTAACATCATAATCATCATCTTTCACAGCATCAGTTTGGATTCTATCTACCATATTACTGAATATCACTGATGTACCCGAATCCAGAATTTCAATTTTTGAATCCTCATGCTGAAATGAATTCATTTCGAATGAAATAAAATTTTACAATAGGCTATCAGTCAAAAGATTTCGACAATAATTTTTCGATCTATGTAGCTTAATTTTTCCTTTCAATATTCTTTCAACAATATTACGATTATTTTCGAAACTGACCTCATCCGCTCCATTACCACGATCACTACTGTGACACAGTAATTGTGACACACTTGTTACACATGCTCTGGATTGTGATGCACTTGGTGCTGACTGAAATTTGATTAAAAAATATATTACACTTATTTCTTGTTTTGATATTTTTCAGGGATAAAGCCCATTGATGCATCTTTCTTTTATTCTTTAGCGCTTTACTTGGAGGAAGAATATTTTATATCACACTGGCACAGAACAGTGAATCCTACCCCGACGGGACCCGCGTGTGATATACACCAATTTTTAAAGAACATTTTTTCTTCCGCAAATAATCTTTTCAAAACCAAACTGTAGAAGATTTTCAGTGATTGTATAATTACTCCCATTCCAAATCCTATAAAGACAGCAGAATTAAAAGATTTGAATCCTTACTTCTCTATTTGAATCCTTTAATGAGGTTTCCGACGAAGATAAGGTCAAGGGAACACTGTTCGGTAAACCTGAGTTTGGTGTATTTTCACCGACAGCGAGATGAAACAAAAGGCTAAAAGTAAACAATTATGAAAAGGAGAGAAATTCACAATAATAAGAGAATAGGATGCAATTAAATTAAGGCGCAACAGGTGATATTAGAAAATGCATCAGTCAATCTCCCACTGTAGTTAAAAAACTAATTCATATCAAAAAATTTTTGACATCATACGCCAATTAATTTTTGCAGGGCTTCGTTGATTTTAATGTAATATATCTCCATAGCCAGCTTCTTAAAGCATAAAATTGTTATTCATCTGTTAACATTTTTTAAGTACAAATATGAGCAGCTGGTTCATTTTCTATTAAATCTTCGTTTATGTGCTTATTTATTCGAAATGACAAGCGTGAACACCCATATAAACAATGATGTCATTTACTTCCAAAACTTTTAAAATCAATTACTCCTCAAGAATTCCTACTTTTTACGAGGTTTGCCTCGCTTCAATTTGATCAGCGCTGCTTTTTTCCGTGGCTTCCCTTTTGTAGTTTTCGAAATTGATATATTTAATGGAGTTGGCGATTCTTCTTTCTCAGCATGCCGTGCTGGTGTTTCAACAATTGAGTCAGCAGAAAATTTTCTTCTAGTAGAATTTGCATTCAACCGCTTTCGCCCTCGACGACACTTCCACTCATCAGATGATTTAGAGGTTTCTATCTTATCTTCTTTCTGCTCAGAAGTGGTAATGTGTTCGATATTCATTGCAGTGCCATGTATCGCTGAGCTTGTTTTTTTTGACTCATTTTCAGTATCGTTTTCGGAAGACAACTGTAATGAATTTACATCGTCCAAATCTCTGCCGTCTGAAAAATTAAATTTCATATAAAAATTTTAAAAATCGAGAGATGAAGGCTAGCACACAATAAAATATAGAAAAGACCCGACATAACAGAACAGCAGTAAAACCGTTGTTCCAAATCTATAGTATTGTAAACAAAATATGTATCTTCCTAGACTTTGTCTTTTTCGTCTTTTATTTATGGAAATTTTTCATGTTCATAAAGCTTAAAACTATTCAAAATGTTAAAGGAAATATAAAATTTTCTCCTATCTAAAACTAAAATCCAACCTTGTAAACTTATCGAGAGTGTCTCTGACTTTGACTCATCCGCAAAGCGTTTTCTGTATTTCAAGGTAAAGCCACATGGTAGTGAAAATTCTCCAGCCTTCAGCTTGCGCAAAATTTTCGTTAAATCCGATAAGTGAATTGTTTCGGTTATCCTTCTCGGACCAATCATTACTAAATATAAGGATATCATTAAAGCTTTTCCTATAACTGAACAATATGTTCATACTGCAATCAGAAGTACGCGGACACCAAAAAACAATCTCAACATCAGTGACGTTTTTATATAAAGTACTAAACGGTTAAACACTATCTTTTAATTAATCGCTTTATAACTATCTTATAGCCACTCATGATTAAATATTTCTAATACCAATTATGGAATTTTGCTCCTTGAATCGTTGGGGGAAGAACTTAGTTTTGTTGACCATTTAAGAGTCAACAAATCGTCTACAAATCGTTGACTGTCGACGATATTTACTCGATATTAAAAATTATGACTGCTGCTAAATGGTAACATGAAAACAATAAAAGCTGGATTATTTATTTTAATCTACCGAAAGTTTATTAAATCAGCTGGACATGAAGTCTCCTTTTGTTAGAAAGTGATCAGAAATAAGATTAAAATACGAACTTTTTGTGGTTTTTCGAACAGGTTCTGGGGAAAATTGACGTTTAGGAACAGTCAAACGAGTTCGTGAAATTGGACTGTAGGAATAAACACGAGGATTTTTATGCTTCACATCATCTGGTGGTGTAGGTTTAGCGAAAGTACTGGAGGTGTTATCAACTTTTTGTGAAGGAGTAATCAAAGTCAACGAGAGCCTCAAGTCCTGAAAAAACATATAAAATGTCATAATCTTCCTTAGCAGTAATCGAAGGTTTATTTTTCGTTTTCGTTTGATGTTTGTCTCTTCTATTTAGGAGTGAATATAAAAGTGAAAAAAAAAGAAAAATATTTCACCATGGAATCCTGCAACGACGTATTATCAGATTTATCCACTGATGCAGAAGCTGTATTATCACTAATAATTGAATCAGCATTTTCCAGCTTATCATCATCTGATAAAAATAGCAGCGGTGATTCTATCTTCTTCAAAATTCGACTTTTAGCATTTCCTCGTTTTCGTCGTTTTCTAGACCAGATAAATTAAATTCATAAATCCAGATACATAAGACAAATAAACTGCAATGAAAAATATAGGAAGAATGTCAACCTCATTACTTCTATGACTTAACTTTCACGACTATAAGAAACATAAATTATTCGCGTTAGAATTTAATGCGCACTTTAAAACTACTCCATACTTCATTTCATTTTGTGAAGTCGATCGCTTTCTCTTTCCTGAATTTGACTTTAACTGACTATCGCACGCACCAATAGAGGAAGAAGCTGTAGAACATTCTCCGCTTTGAAAATCTCTTTTCTGGAAATAAAATTTTCAAACAACTCAACAAATATGACTTTCTGCAGAAGTGTCCCATCTTTCGCCGACACTGTCTTCAAGCATAGCCTTTAATTTAATGAATTAAAAATTAGGATAAAGGTCTGTTTATTAAAGGAAGAATAACCTTGACTTGCTCATCATATCGTACTTGCTCGCTGTCAATCGCCAGCATTGCCTCCAATTCTGCCAAATCCAACGCTAAAGCATCCTCCACGTCCATCTTATCCCTGTCAATATTTTCATCGCTATCCTTACGACCACGCTAAATAATCAGCCCAATTTTTTTCTAATTTCTTAACCAAATTACTTATTTGAATTCTCCTACCGAGTTATCAGTTTACAATGATAAATCAGTAGAAGAATATTTTGTAAAAAAATGCAATCACCTTTTTACAGTAATAGAAAAATTCAAATAGCAATCAATATCTTTTTCAGTTATGTCACTTTTGCTTCCTGCTTTTCATGACTCATATCATTTATAATAATTCAAATGAAAAATCTTGCTTAAAATGATAAATATGCAGAGACATTAGAGATGTTTCACTCACCGTAGACTTTGCGGACATTCTTTAGAGCAAGAATGACTGAAATAATGCAAAGAGATAACCAGCAGTGAAGTTGAGTAGAATAAATGGAAATGCCTAAATCAGTACAACACAAAATGACATATTGCGAAAAACAACTGTAGCTTGCAGACATCGCAAAGGTCAAAGTTTACATCTCAAACGCGATCCTATGAAACACCCGTTAGCTCATCAAGAGAGTGCTTGTTAACTGAATGCTCATTAATAACGCAGCCGACAATTAGGTTGCAGTGCAATGCATGATCTTATTGGTTGCTTTTGTCGTGGTATGGAATGTGGAGATGGGAGAAGGAATGGAATTGGGTCACGATATCATTCATCTTATCCTATTCGATTGTTAGGTGATTAGGTTATCAATGATTTAATCAGTCAATAAGCATGTCAAATAGTTGTTGATGTTTAATATATGCATGAAAAGTCTTCTGCCAAAAAATTAATATTACTTAATATTACTATTACAAATTAATATTACTTTCAGTTTTTTTTTTTTTGTAATTTGTACATTCCAAGTGACATATATTAAACTTTTGGTGTTGTACATCCATGCTGTTCTTATACTATTTCCTTTTATCTTTCTGATGCTTTTACTTATGTTGGCGCCCAATAATTCGGGAATGTTTATTTTCGTACTGACCTAATGAAGTGAGTCCGGTTCGGCGGTTTTTGCATTTAGATTCTCCCTTTTTGTTCCCGATGCGGCTTTGATTGTTTTTGATTCCCGAGTGTAAATATTTTGAAAACGAGTTTTTTACTATTATTGTGATAAGTCAGAGAAGTGGATAAATATTGTTATAATGTTGCATAATGAATACTGTTTCTAAAGCTATAAGCTGGACCATATTGTATTCCTGTGTATGCCCATGTCTATATCCTTTCCCAACGATTATGAGTAAGAAATCCATAACTGATAATAAAGCCTACAAATAGACTTCGAAGATTTTTTCGTGATTTGGATCTTTTAATAATAGTGTCAATTTCAGATGAAAAATGGGATCTTCGGGAGCAGCAATAAAGCTTGGGCAAGGAACATTACGTGAGTTACGCATTCATTTGTGTCCTACATCAGCAGCTAGTGCTGGCGTTAGAAATTTCATTGAGAATGATTATGTACCTTTGAAGAAGGTCAATCGACAGTTCCCTATATTGATCCGTGAATGCAGTGGAGTACAACCTAAGGTTTATGCCAGGTTTCATGTTTCTTCCTCTATTGAAAATCAATAAATGTCGTAGTTCAGTGCTGATAGATATCTCTACTAAGGTCTAAGCTCTCTATTTGTCTTCGAAAATTGAATGTTTATTTATTTTACTTCCCAAATTATTCTGATTACTACGATTGTGCATGCTTTTCATGTGATGTCATTTTGAGATGTTATCATCTGCTAGTTATTCGGAGTTCATCTCCATGAATCCATGAAAAGTTTCATAACTAATGATCTCGCTGACAATTCGAGCCATATCAGATTCTGAAAAAAATCAGTGTTGCTCTAGTTGATTTGTTAAAATAGCATTTCATATAATTTCAATTCCTTCGATGGTTTAATTTCCTGTCATAAGACAGAATTTTAGATACAGTTGCGGTGTTGAAAAAAGTATTCCATTGGATAATATCTCGCGATACAAGGTATTGGATATTATCAAAGATTTGGTTATTGGTAAAGTTTCGTGAAATTTGTGATTCGAATAGATTGGTCAAGTTAGAATATAGCTACATCAAGTGCTCATTCTGCATATTATTTTGCTTTATGTTCTATTTAACTTATTAGCATTCAGAACAAAAAAAAAGCAAAAAAAATATTAATAAGATAAAGCAGATCACTTACAAAAAGTGCAGTATGATAGAAATATGATAGTTTAAAGAGTTATTGACTACATCTCATTTCTCGATGCTTTGTAGGAGTTTAAATTTTTATGAGTAATAGTAGTCTGTGGAAATGAAATTAATGAGGAAGTAATTTGCATAACAGTAGTGAAGATTCAACTGATGAAAAAATGAACCTCATGTTTCGCGGATTATGAAAGACATTACAGACATAAATATTAATGCAACCATATCTTAACTTTGCAAATGAGAATATACTTAGATCAGACATTCGTATGAACAGTCCTAGGGGATTGAGGAAGTAATGATTTGTATAGTTTATGTTCAATGGACTTGAGTGCATATATGGTAGATGTTCAATAAATATTTACATACCTCTGCTCATTTCAACATTTGCATGCATTGATTGCGTTTAGTAAAAAATATAGTAGTTTGGAGAGCTATTTTGCTCCATCTCACATTTCGACATCTAAATTTTTGTAAACTTCTCATAATAGTTGTGATGATGAAAAGTAAATCTCATGATTTTCGAATTACGAAAGAGATTTTTTTTATGTTGCAATTAGTTTGCGATTTATATAATTCTGAAATGAACTGAACTGAAACTGTCGCTGTTACTGAAAGAGCAGATATCGGTTGGCGGTCGGCATCACCTTGCTACTGTATGGCCGTATGTTATACGCAGTTATATTTTGTCTGAAAATTACTAACATCTTAATTTGTATCGGAATATAGATGAGGGATCATCTTCACAAAAATTCAAAATGTAAAATACGTCAAAGGTCAAGGCATTAAAATATTTGTGTTGATGAAGTAATATTTCTAGATGGATGCATGTTAGATTTGAGGCATGAATACGGCCACTATCAAAAATAAATGCTGATTTGCTTTGTGATGCAGTGATATGGTACTGCAGATTATCATCGAATCAGAGCAATTTGGCTGTTGATCTAATGGCCTACATTTTCAACTTTTTCGGGTAATGGAACTGAAAAGAAAAAATGTTTTTTTTTCTTTTTTGAATCTGTAAATTTTGTTGTCAAGAAAGACGTACACAGAAATAAACTGTGTTCCTTATCGTTGAAAAAGATCGTTTCAGTTTTTGTGGAATCGAATCAGATCCTTCTACCTTCATTCTCTACTACGTCCTCATTTCACAATTTGAGCAATTAATTTAGCAAAAAAAAAAAAAATGGATGACCTAATGTTGCAGAAGAGTGGTAAAATTAGGCAACGCATTCTTTTTTCTTTATTCAAAGGTGTGGTCTAAATTTATTGCAACTTCACTTCTTCCAAAACAAAAAAAAAAGCTTTTTCACCAAAAAATAAATGCGTTCTTTAATTCATTTATTTTTTAAGTCGCTATGGAAGGTGACACAGCCTTTCATTCGACAGTTCTTAACATCATTTTCAAATTAATTAGGATTGAATGTAGTTTGAAGATTTTTGAGAAAGGAACAGAGAAGTAACTAAATTCAGAAGGACCATAATGTTCAATTTTGTTATTGTCTCTTGTAACAGAAAAAAAATCTTTTTCCAGTTCCGTTAGAGTTGAAAACATTTTGAAAATATTGGAGGTAAATTGAGTGAATGAAACTTTTAACAAATGTGACGAATGTTATTTCATGATAATATCATATTGATAGGTATGAAAGTGCATAAGGTGACATTCTTAGCATCAGGAATAAGCGGTGTATCGTTGATAGCATGTTTGCTTGCTATTCTAATGATTTACAACGATGTACAAAAGACATGGATTCATTTGGATTCAGAAATCAGTACATTCAGGGTATATTTTTTACTCCTAATATTTCAATACAGAATATGTTCAGCTTGTAATTGCCATTAATTATATCACCAAGTAACATTGATTATATTATCAGTATCATTGATTATAGCTTCACTCCTAAATATTGAGTATATTTCTCTTTGCCCATATATTTTGCAGAATTTTCTATATAACTGACATAAAATTAACCATAATGATCGGAAAAAGATTGCAAAGAAATGTGAATATCTTATTTGAATATGAATGAAATCATTAGTTTTTTATATTTTGAACGAAATATACATTTTGAGGACAAGTAAAATTTGCTAAGTTTTAGGTAACAACAGATAATTTATGGAAAGATATAATGCAGCTTGCCCGGAAAAAGCGATTTCGACGACAGTATAATGAAGCGAATAAATATGATGGCGATGGCAGAAATAATTCAACAACAATTTTGTTTCAACCTGAAACGACAACAACTAAAATCGATAAGAGTATACGTTCCGAGCAGTACGAAAGTTTGAAGACTGAAGTTGCAAGTGCCTCGAGTCCAACGCCTTCCATTTCTGAGCAATCAAATTTGTTTGATCCATTCAAGAACAATGATGGCAAATGTGGCATGTTTTGTGATTTAAAATTTTTGCTTTTTGTTTGATTAAAATGCCGCTAATCATCTGTTTGCAGAATGCCGTATCGATAATGACTGTCCAGCAGGTCCGCCGGGTCCCAAAGGACCACCAGGCAATAAAGGTACTAACAGAAGATTGAAAAAATTCAAATATTTGTGATAGGTCAATAAATTTAACTGGTTTGATTTTGTAGGAGAAGATGGACTACCAGGTGAGGATGGTAAGCTGGGTGTTGATGGGATGGATGTTGAACAAATCCAAACTACCACAGGTTGCTTCAGATGTCCAGTGGGCCCTCAAGGTGCACCAGGAGCTTTGGGACGTCCCGGACCACGTGGATTGAGTGGAAACAGAGGTCGAGCTGGTTTGCCAGGACGAGATGGGAATCCTGGTTTACCTGGAGAGCCTGGACCACCAGGACCCCGCGGTAATCCGCCCGTTTATTCACTGAAGTATTGAAAAATTGAACATAATTGATTTTTGGAGCTAAAAAATAAAATTCTTTTAGGATATTAGAATTCTGAAACTTTGATATGAATGAAAGTGTGAATGAAAATGAAATTGCAACAATTTAGGTGCTGACGGCTCACCAGGACCACTCGGTGTGAAAGGTAGAAATGCAGAGCATTCAATAGGTCGGCCTGGCTTAAAAGGTAAGCCGGGAGTGCCAGGGCCAAGAGGACCACCTGGAATTAATGGCCGTAACGCTGCGCCCGGTGTCACTGGTCCTCCAGGACCACCTGGTTTGTTTATGGAACATTTATCAAAGGAATTTTTAATTTGATAAACTTTAAACATTGTGCCAAGAAAAACATAGTAGCTTAATAGTAATTTTCAGCATTCCAAGATTTCAGGAAATCCTGGACCTCAAGGGCCACAGGGAACTGATGGACCAACCGGTGAAGTTGGACCCCCCGGACCGCCAGGAAAAGATGCTGAAGTAAGTATTCTAATATTCGTTGTCAATTTTCAATTTTGTGTTTTGGAACGAGATTTCGAATCACATCCAATGCGTCTCGGTTACAAACCTACACATTTCAATGAAGACTAATTTCTGCAAAACTTTTCCGACACAACAATTGCACTATTCAGTGATTATTATCGGACACTATCTGAGATTTCAAGAAACCAATATTTCAAATGACTAAAAATTTCAGTACTGTCCATGTCCGGAACGTCGGGAAAGCACGAATGGTCATGCAAAACGGAAATGAAGACAAAATGATATTTTGCGATTTTCTAACTTTAAAATTTAATCGTTCTATGCAAATTGAAATTGATATGAATAAATATATCGGCAAAATTCATTAAGGATAGTTCAATATTTCCATAAACATTGTAGCGAAAATAAAGAAAGAAATAAAATAATATTTCTCGAGCAATAACCGATAACAGCAAAAAGTTTTTTTTTTTTATAGTGAACTATGCGGAAAATTAGAAACCAATGAAATCTAATTCTGGAGGTTACCGATAAGCAATAAATAATGCTTATTTCATTGAGATTTCAAGTTTTTCGCAGATCACCAAAATATTTGAAAACATCTGATATATAATTCTCGCAATAAAACAATTTCATGTGCCAACCCAAAATTAACTGCGCAACTTTCTTGGAGTTTTTTCTGGTATAATACTGTCATTATTTATAAATTCAAACCAACTCAAATGTCGCTAAGCGATGAAATGTGTCCAGCAGTATTTGTTATTTCATCTTTCAAGTATTAAAATATTTTACCATACATCACAATTACTATATATATATATAAAATTTTCACGAGGCAGCTGGAAAATATTATTTGAAAAATGAAAAGGAAGAGGGAAAATATAAAAGATATGAAGAATAAAAAGAGTTTGAAGAAAGCAAAAAGATGACATTTTTTATAAATTTTTGAGGCAGATCACAGGAGTAATTTATAGGACAATTTGAGATATGAATGAAAGGGTTCTTAACAAGATTGAAAACCAATCCATCCAACAAAAAAAAAAGCTTTCTTTTCAATTAGTCAGACATGGATAGATATCAAAAATATATTTTAACAAGAAATTTAAATAAATTCAAAAGAAAGAAACATAACTTGGCAAGAAAATGTCGAGATCGGTAAGTGTATAGCAAAACTTCAAAATAAGCAAAAGGCGTTCCGGTGAATTCATTTACAAAAGTTTCCGCAGTAGGCATAATCACATTTGTTTGGTTAAAAGCATCTACTATAAAGCGGGAATCTTCTATTTATTATTTTGCAAAAGTTATCGAATCAGACCAAATTTTTGAGCATATGTATCAACTCTGTGAATTATAGGAGTGGATCCACCGGGTGGAAAGAATTCAACTTCCCAGATTAAATCTAATCTACGCATTGACTGCCCAGCACTTTTCATTCTTAGCGTGCCTTCCTTTCGCCGTGCTGGATCTTTACTTGCGCGGGCATCCTGAAAAAAGAACATCGATTCTAGCTTTTCAAATTTAACATCTGAAAAACTAATTTTAAATATTAAGCAAAGAAACATAATGATTAGACAGGAAACAGCTTAAAAAGGTAGAGAGAAAACAACAACGTGTATGTCACGGCTAGTTCAGTAAACGAAACATTCGACCAAAATAAAACAGTTAACTACATCAATAATCGGTTCAGTTACCAACATAAATGAGGGACAAACGTGCAAAAAGAGAGACACATTGACTAAGATTAAACACAAAAAACAACTAAACTTGGAGGTAAATAAAAATGTTCAAAACTTCAAAAAACTGACAAGTGCTTCATCCGGAGTCCAACCAATCAGTTCTGTAAGAAATTTATGCGATACGAGGCACGTTAAGCATTCGTAACTTCCGTCGCTTAGCGCCACAGTTAGTGCCCATAATCCATCATTGTTCACATGTAGCGGTTCCAATGGTTTTGTTTCCATTACAGCCTGTAAAGAGAAGGAACTATTAATGATATATGTTCAGTTAATATTTGACTACATATGAAAAAAAAAGGCTAAAGAAGACGGAAGTTTATAGATGAATTTATGCAATAAAGATAAGGAACGCCATCATGATTTTAAGGAAGCTATAACTTGAATAGTGATTAAGGTCAAGATAATTTAAAATACTCTAGCTTTATGATAATTTATCTATTCGAAACAATCGACATGAATTCTGAAACAATTTACACTATTATCAGCTAATCCGGAAGCAGATTCCATAACTGGACAATTAGATAAACCTAAAATTTATGTTCTGTGTTTGTGGTATTCATCATCCGTTTTCACCCTACATTAAAAATGAAGAAACATTGAACAAATTATGGATTTTTAGAGATTAATCAATTTGCTTACATCCAATATTTTACGCTTCGGTCCAACAGCATACCGCATTGCTTGTAATGCTGCTGCAATCGATTCAACTCCGAGTCTTTTGTAAGCAGCAATAATTGGATCATTATCAATCATTTCAGGTGTCGCAGGTAGGTTAGTCTTTTTCCGATTACCTCCAAATACGAGACATTAGTGTTAATATATGAATTCTTGGATTTCAAAACATTTGGATAAAAAGAAACAATGTTTCAAGTTCACTACAAGAACGAGATAATGAAAGTATTTAATAAATTAAGCATGTCCATATAAAACATAAATTTTTGATTTGCAGAAGTTTACAATGAGATGGTAAACAAAAATAGCATTACTAAAGATTGCAATAAGCCAGCTTCTTTTCAAATATCATCATCCTCAACTCATTAATTCACAAAAATTTTTAAATAATAGAAACCCATACTTTCTTCGCTTACTTCCTCCTTTATCGGTGTTGGAGTTTCAAGCAAAATGATATCAGCTTCACTGTCAATCTCTTCTCTGCAAAGTCACCAGTATTAAGAACAGGAAAACTTGTTTGATAAGAAAAAATTTTCAAAAATTGCACAATCTATTTTTCACAGAAATGAGACAAAAGAAATCTCAAGAAACACTGAGTGATGGTTAATACCATATTCAACAGATTTATTATCAGATTTCAAATATCAACGTGATCGCTGAATAAACCAATGATTTGACTTTTCAATATGGATAGACAAACTTATCTACATACCTCCTGCAATTACATCCTCCTCAAACTGTTCTTATTCACTTACTGTCCTTAATTAAGCTGACACTATAAAGTTTTCTTCTTTTCGGATATCCAAGTAATTTGGATAGATAAAAATCGTTTCTTTTAATAATGAAACAATTTCAACACACATTTTCATGCGTTTAGCATGTGCAGCATGTGTTGAAAAATCCTCTGAATGCTTCGTTGCTGGAGCAGCGACTGGCGTTCTACTTCCCGAATTACTCGGATTTTCATTCAATGAAACGTTCATTTGCTGCTAAAATGGTGAAATTGAAGCATGAAAAATTTCTAATTCATTTCTTAAGCAAAACGTTATTAAATTTAACGATTACTCTGATATTTTTCACTGCCTGTTCAATCCGTGAAGTTTTACTTGTAGCTATTACTTTTCGCTTTGGAGTTTCTGAAGGCCTGAAATGATGTTAGAATTCAATTAATTATCATATATGTGAGGGTTCTATGCTGAACAAACAGTGCTGTATTATGACCCTATATTTTGTACTAAAGCATTTAATTTCCTTCTTCTAAAGTTCAATTCGATCCAGCAAAATTTTGAATAGATGAAATGGATATTTTATTATTCATTAACTTTATTTGAATACGATTAGACATAAACAAATATTAAAACGAAACAAATTAAGGAACAGAGAACGACATGGAAATATGCAAAAAAATGTAAACAATCAGAAAATATTTACTAGCAAAAAGATTTGAAAAATAATAACAATAGACAAAATAAAATTAATCATGAAATAATGGTGAAAAGTTCGTGCGATAAGGTTAAACTTAAGAAATCCGTAAATTAACTTACAATTTTTTACCCGAAAGTGGCTTCACTTGCATTATAGGCTTCATATTCTGCGAAAGAACAATACTGTTAGTCTTTTGAATGTTGTTACTGAAATCATTTTCTCTTCATTAATCCATGCTTAATAATCTGTATAATTATTTATATTCTTTTCTTCTAAAATATCACCCATGAACTATCTTCAATTTGATGGTATTCTTACCACTGAGTAATTCTAGTTTTTTTAATGAAATTAAGAGCACGCATAAATAGATATTTTTAAAATCACAAACTTAGCTACAGATTTTTTGAATGAAAATGAATTGTTGAGAAGCACTGACTGATTAATTTCTTTTTCTGTCTTGCCTAAAAATGCGGAGCTTTGTCTCTGCAGTGAGGTATCAATATTCAAACGCTTCATCATTATTTCAACTGGACGACCAGTTTTCACAAGCAAATCGTCGTCACCACCCAATGCTATACAGTTCAATTCGGTAAGCAATAAAATACCGCGTCGGAGGCACACACTGTTTGTCAGCAGAATCTTAAACAAGAGAATTAGCATTTATCAAAAAAATTAGCAACTCTTTATTTACAATCACATTATATTATCGATAAATATTTTAACATCAGTACGTCAATTTTACAAATATTTGAAAAAATAAAGATAAAACTTTATAACAACTAATAATTTATACAATCTACAATCTATAATCAAAAAATTTACCTTATATCCTGGACATGTTAGTAGAGAAAGAGCGCTTAACGGACCATATTCCACAGCCTTCATTGACAGTTGGCCGTCTGTTACTTCCATTAAAAGCATACGCTTCGTATTTTGCTAAAAGAATGAATATCTTTTAATTTGAGTCAGAAAACAAAGAAGTTGTTATCCACTAGGTAACCAGACAATAACCGAAATTAAAATTAGAAATTGATTAATTTAAGTATTGATAAATAATTCCTAGAATTTCTTCATTTTCGCATTATTTATATATACGTAATATGTTTGAAGAAAAATCACAAATAAATCGGAGTTCGTTTCACTTTCTCCCATTTTTAGCTGGAAACCAGAATTGTCCTCAAATTTATTCGTTAAATTCCTGTACTGCGAATACATTGACGAGCTAATATCAACAATTGAGTTCACCTGAAGCAGAAATAACATCCAGGTCATAAAGAAGAGACAATTCCAATTTAAAACAAGGCAAAGTCATGACCGAGTTATTATTTTAACATCTCAGTTTTTACCAATTGTCTTTAATTTGCCGCTAGATTTATGTTGCCTCAGTAATTATTCTGTTCCTTCATCCCTTCCTCCTTCTTCTTCCCCCACAAAAATAAAAAATAAAAAAAGAAAGAAAAGATAAACTATACCTGTATAACAGTACTACCTCCAAGCATTGTTGGTGTCGAACAACTGCCAACAGATAAAGACAACAGTGGTTTTGTGGATATTTTGAGGTCAGTATAAAGCCATTGCTCATAAACAGCTGACAATAACGATTCATTGTTAAATTCCTGAAAAAACTTGACAACCAAATAAACCATACATATTTTCAGATAGCAACAAACAACAACGAAGAAACTTTAATAGATCGAGAGAAAAAAAGACCGGAGTTTTAAAAATGGGAATACCTGGTTTTATTTCATCTTTTTGTTCATTCTACTTTATTTCTGGATTCGTTTTTCTGCCTATCAATGTTCAGAACAGGATCATAATAACCACTGCTAAACTTTATCCTTCCAGGAGTTATAACACTTCTCCAAAATGACTTAACTAGAAGGAATCAATGGCACGCCTAGTGTATCGGATATGATTATTCAAAAAAGATTGTCAATTATTCATCATAAAACAATCTACACTTACTAAAGAATGAAGATACATCATTACTTCTGTTAACCATTCTTCCTGTAATGTAACATTCATCTTCTTACTAAAAAAATCTTTGATGATTTCGATGTCCATCCATAACAACTGACAATATTAACACCTGAAAAAAATTTTTAATTGATTAAATCAGCAATAATGTAATGTGGAACAGAGCTAATATATTTCAGAAAGAATCAAAATTCTCTTCATTCAAATCACGAAGTTTTGAAAAAGTGAAAAAATTCTGACAAAAAAGAAACGGAGTTATAAAGAAGCAAAGTTACTGCTATTCATGCAATACATTAGATAAGATCTTCGATTTATTAATTATAGATATATGATAAGAGAAATACTAAGGATCGAATAGTGTAAGCAAAATTAGATTGTTACAATGATCATGATTTGTTGATGTTCGTGGTTAGATTTTAAATGATTCAAATTATTTAAATGTCTTTCAGTGATCGATGGATATTTTATCAGTAATCAATGGATATAGTGGGCATATATATGGATATAGTGAATATACATATGACACTTTCTAACGAAAGTTAAATCCTACCTTTCTGAGAAACAATTGAAACCAGTTACCCGGTAAGGAAAGAAAACAATATGAAGTAAAGTCAGTCACATAATAAACTACTAACTGGCCGAAATTTTATCATTTCTAATTCAACTGCTAGAAATTTTAAATCTACTTTCTGCGCCAAATATAGGATACACTGTGCAAATCATTGCATCTCTCATCATCTCAATAAACTGCTTTCATCATTTCCTGTAAAGATAAATAGATAGGAAATTTGAATTGAGTGGGAAATATTCAATCCGTCAAATGATTTTGCATTTCCGTCGTATATGACTTAAACTTGTTGTCGTTGCTGATAGAATCGTCGGGCTTTTTTCATTGCTATATTATCGACCCAAAAACAGACTTCAAAACTTTCTCCACTTCTTACTACTATATTGCAATACCAACTACTTTCTTCCTTCATGATACCACTCTCTCTCCCTGTCTCCCTCTCTCTTTCTTCAACAATACCATGGAAAGACCGCACGAATAGAGTATCTTCCAGAGAACAATTTTGACTGTAGCAATTAGCTAAGAATGCTACTTGAATCAATTCATAAACTGTAAATCAATAATAGCTCAGTGATAAATTATCCAGGCAACCACATATTTTCGAAATCTTTTTTACATTTGCATATCGCTTGTAGAATGGAATAAAAAGAAGTTTCCATTTATGAATGCTTCAATTTCTACCAAAGCATATCGGACGATTTGCGTTAAAAATATATACCTTCTTCCTCTTCAGGACATTCTCTGTACATGGGATTTTTCTAAGGTATTATTGAGAAATTTTATCATGATTTATCCGAAATAGCAGTCTTGCAAAGCTATCAAATCACGCAGGTAAACTTCACCATCCATAGTTTCAAACAAAAGTATGAAAATTGATGTCAAATGCGATTTTCTAGGTTCTTTAAACAAATGTATTTGTGGTTTACAATTACAATGCCAATAACGACAACATTCATTACAAGTTTTACCGGCAGTATTACCATTACGACTATGTTGCTGTCCTGTGCAATCAGGAAGTCTAAACGTCTACAGAAGTCAAGGCATTTACCTGAATTTGTGGTACTAAATGTTCCTTCACTTTTTTCACACATTTTGAAGATACATTTCGAAATGTTTAAAATTTCTTAATCGCACGAAAAATGACCAAATACTAACGCAACATCAGAACACATTGACTTGATGACTTTACCCTAAATCCTAAATCATCTTTTATCTTTAGTTTCCGCGTATTCTTTTTTTCTAAAGTATTTTCAAAAGACACAGGACCCCAATGCAAAAGAAGCTGATACGTATTATGGAATGAGAAGTACGATTGCGTTTCCAGTTAAAGCTAGCAAAAGTGAGTTCACTTCTCCATTTACACTACATCTCAAAGCCGTGAAGGAAACAATTTAGAAGTTCTTTCCAAATTCCTTATTGTGACTCGATTCAAAAAGTGCAATTCCGAACTCTAAACAGTGTGAAATCATCCCCTACTTATCGATCCAATCCATTACCGCATAAATTATACTATAACAGGAGTTTAAAACATAAACCTCACCGAAACCGTGGACATTGGCTATAGAATTTCTCAGTGGTTCCAGGAATAATGATTTGTGCCTTCATCCGCTCTTTTTTAAGTTAAACGAGATGATCTTAATGCACCACAAGCTAAAACAGATAATGAATCAAATCTAAGAACCGAAGAAAAAGATGTTCGAGATCGAAGAGTTCAATTAGGAAGCACTCTAGTGCAAAAAGAGTGTATGCCGGTGGGTTTTGTTATGCAGTATTTTTTTCAAGTCAGAATAAGTTTCAGTGATCTACATCATCTTGAATCACATTAATTACAATAGAAGTAAAATCAACACCGAAGAAGGTTTAGAAGCTTACAAGAAACAAAATGTATTTTATAAAACAAACAGGAGATACTTTCTAAATACAAGAACTGACATAGCCTCAAAACAAACTCGGAATCGCTAGATCTGTGGCTTCCTTCTGTTACTCCGTTCATTCTTCATTTGCAATGAATTTGTTAATGTAAATTATAATATACACGAACAATCTATGAAAAATACTGTTAAAACAAGATGAAGGTGTTCGTAGCATTCAATACCAATATTAATGTTCAGAAGTTATGCATAAAATAGTTTAACTGAAGTATAGAATCAACTTACAAATCCGCCATTATTGCGGATAAGATTGCAAAAATAAACAGCATGTGTGCTGCGATTTGAATATGTAAATTGAAATATGAAAAGCAATATGTGAAACAAACCCCGATTCTTTGAGGTTCACATTTCCTTCCTCAAATTACGACAGAACTTATTTTTGAAAATTTCTAAGGATAAGAGAAAATCGGGAAATATGCACTCTACAAATCATCGTACTGATACCATTCCTGAATCTGCGCACTTGAATGTGCACACAATTACTATAATCTCAAAATAGGAATGCATAAGAAATTTCATTCATGTGGTCGATATTAGCAGAACGATCATGAGTATTCCCAAGAAAACTTCATAGACAGCAATTATTCACCGACGTTTCTTTGACGAAGAACCTTCATCAGCACCGGCATCAGCTGTCCTTTTTTTCAATTCTTTACCTGATTCTTTAGCTGATTGCAGCAGCTGGCCAAGACCGAAAATATCCTCCTCCTCTTTTTCAAACTGAAAATTAAGAAATAAAAGAAAATCCAAAATTTCAGAGGAATAGTGAAATTAGTAACAAAAGGAACACTCTGCTTAAAGCTTTCTCTAAATTTTGTTTAGAATATGATTTTGCTCAATTTTTCATTTAATTTTTTTCAGAATCGAAGTGGAAGAGACGGATTCATGTTCTGAAATTCGAAATGAAATGGATTAGGAAAAATAATGCGCAAAACATGTTTCTGATTTCAATAAATTTTTGTGCTATTCAAGAAACTGAGAAGAATATAAATATTTTAAAAATTGCTATGAAATGAACAAATACATATTTTAAAACGAGGAAAAGGCATTATTTTGAGTGCGTCAACTAGATTCAATAAAAGAAAATTTACACGCAAAGTGAGATATAAGTTAACTCCTTATACAGTGAAAAAAAAGACTCGACAAGAAAAAAAAGGATAATGTCATTTCGAAACAATAAAGAAAGTAACGGCAATGAATGAAACGAACCTCGACAGGCCCAGCATTGCGTGTGGCTCCAGGTTCGGTACCGCTAAATCCCTTGTCAGGAACGAATCGATTAGTACTAATAATACGATCCAAATCATCACCGTAAAGATCTTTATCAAGATTTTTGCCTGCAATAACAACTCTCACACTCCACATATTTTATAAACACTTTTTATTTTTTTTTTTACTTCTCAAGCTTTTCGCTATTTGAATATTGAATATTAAAGAATCAAGTTAACTCACTCGGTCGATAAATATGTTGTTGAATATTGTCCTGAGCACGCCACGGTTTATCATATGCGTTATATGTTTCATCATCAATACCACCACTATCTAATCCCTGAAAAAAGTCGCAAATAGCATTAAATCTTTTTGACTTTTATAATGATCAAAAATGTTCAACATAAATTGAAGCTTCATTAAGAGTAACAATAAAATAAACATCCAAAAAATTTCCGACAAAAAGTGGAGTTAAAATCTATTAAATTAAAAAACCTTAGATTGATCAAAGAGCCGCTGGTCAAACTGTGTTTCGTGATGTCTTGCTCGAGCATCAGGCAAGCCAAGTGCAATTTTTTCGCTAATATCCCGCTCACGACCCTTTTTAAACCTATCCAACTTATCTGGATTGTTTCGTGCAATATTCCTTTCACGACGATGTTCATCTAGGCGATCACGCCTATAAAAAATCCGGAAAATTAAAAATCCCTAAATCCGTAAATCATAGTTACAGCTGTTTCCGTGCGCTATTTTAAGAAACAATCCTACTTGAAATTTTGGTAGATAATTTACTTAAAACACGGTAGCGTTACCTCTTACATAGCAATAAATATCAAATTTTGATTTTCCTAGAAAATATGATGTTAAATATAATTACTGTACTATAATTTTTTTGAATGGTTCAGGTAAACCAAGTGCAATTTTCTCGATAATGTTCCGCTCACGACTCTTTTTAAGCCTATCCAACTTATTTGGAATTATTTTGTGTAATCTTCCTTTCGCGAAGGTAAAACGTCGAAGGCGAAAAGAAATGTAAAGATCAGTAAAAATATTTAATTTACCTGATTTGATCACGTTCACGAGCTTCTTGGCTTACTGAATCATCATCATGTGCTTTCTTGAGCACAGCACGTTCTTGCCTATAACATTAATTTAAAGTTAATAATGATTACAGCGTATAGTTTACTTGAATATTTAAGAATGTATTGAGTCATTTATATTAATTGAACTACTCTAGAAATCATCACGTAATGGTACATTTAAATAGCAAAAGTACGTTCAGAAAGTTCATTGTCCATTGAATGAGATTAAATTCAGATAATGTGAGTTATAAAAATGGT